CTTGTGAATGATGTTGCTGGGGATAATGAGGGGAGTGTATGAACAAAGAGAATACGGATAAGTCATGGAAGTATAAGGAAGAAAGCTGTAACTTAAATTTAGACGTAGCCGTAGCTAATAATGAAATATGTAACAGTGGGTCATACTGGGGTGCCTTAAAATAGAATATGATCGGAGCGATCATGGCCGTGGCCGTGGTAAAAATAATGATCGGAGTTAGCGTGGCCATAGCCATAGTAAAAAGTGATCATCGAAGTCATAATGTAACCAAGGTCATGATAAAAAATGATAAATGATGACTGGAGTCATAGAGGCCAGGGCCGTGATGAAAAATGATGACCGGAGTCATAATGGCCAGATCCGTAATAAAATATGAAGACCAGAGTCATAATGGCCGGAGCCGAGGTAGAGTATGTGACATGTAGTCACAGTAACCAGGACCGAAGTAAAACATGTTTCTGTGGCCGGAGCCGAAGTAAAACACTATGCCAGTTAAAAAGTGCAATTGTAAAAGTAAACAGAAGTGCTGAGCTAGGCTTAAGTATAAAGGCGGGAGTCAAAATGGCCGGAGCCATAATAAAATATGATGACTGGAGTCATAATGGCCATAGCCGAAATAAAATGTGTGATATTGGATCATTGTGGCCGAAGTCGATGTGAAATGTAATGCATGATTATTGTGGTCGAAGCTGAGGTGAAACACTTGCAAAATTGAGAATATGCAAAAGTGAACGAAGGTGTTGAAATGGGCATAATTGGGCCCGTCTGAAAAGTCTGACAGTTGTCCTTGGGATGACGTGTGCAATAAATGCAGCCATAAAAAGATAACTGCAACAGTTAAACGGGCAAATTTTAAAAAACGAACCGTCGAATTCAAAACGGTGCCGTTTGGGGTTGGCCGTTGAATTCCAAACGGTGTTAATAGTAACCGTAAGATTAAATGAATCTCAACTGTTGAGGTCTAATTTTGCCCAGAGGTATAAATAAGCATTTTTTCTGTAGAGAGAGGTTTACTTGCATCTCTCTTCCTGCAAAACTTCTGCGAAAAGCTTTACTGTGCGTTTCTTGCGCGTGAACTACGGCATCAACTGGGGATCTCTACATCAAGTCTTTCAAAACCGAAATCAGGTAATGTATGACGAACCTCTAATTTTGAGTTAATCGAAGTGTCTCTCTCCTTTCTCACCTTCTGTGATTGATTTAGAGTCCTTTGAAGGAAGTTAGGGTTAGAGGTGAGGAGGATTTTGAATGTGCAAAAAAAGGGGGTTTTGTTTTTTTTTTTTTTTTTAAAGGGATCCTGACTTATTCCTCCCCCCGACTTCGTGCAGAATTTGAGAAAATGTCGTCAGAAGGAACACAAAGTATAGTAGGGAGTGAGGTGATGCCCCTGGACTATGGGAGCATGGACTCAGAGAGTAGTCCATCTCCATCTAGTTTGGAGAAAACGGTGGAGGGGGTGAGAGGAGATGAGGTGGTGGAGGTTGGGAGGCAAGAGGTGGTAGAGGTTGGGAGGAATGAGGTGGTAGGGGTTGGGGTAGATAGCATACCCATCACTGTAGTAGAAGTAGAGGGTAGAGGAGAGAGAGATTATGATGTGAATGCAGAGATAGTGGAGGAGGTGAAGCAGTATAGTTCTGAACTAAGGACCAAGGATAGCCTTGGTCACTTAGTGGAAAATTACGAGATCTCTTCTCGAGTGCTAGTTAGGCCAGCTGGGGTAGAGGAGAGAGCGTGTTCTGCTCCTCGGGACCATTGGATGCCCATATATTCCCACTATCTGATAGCGGGATTAAGGTTTCCAATTCCTGAGTTGCTAGTAGGTTTGTTGTTAGATTATAATATAGGGTTGACACAATTAGTCCCCAATGCTATGAGGGTAATAATAGGATTTTTAGTCTATTGCCGAGCTCAGGGGATTACTGTGCCACCTGTAAATATGTTTAAGTATTTTTTTGTTTTAAAGGGGGGTAGTAGGAGGGATAAATGGTGGTATTATTTCACCCCTAGGGTAGCCAGTAAGGAGAGTAGGGCATTGTTCACTGCAGGTCCTTCGTCCATTAAAGGATGGAAGGAAAAATTCTTTTTTGCAGATGATACAGAGTGGGGGAGGGGGGATGCCGAGGTGAGGGAGTTAGCCTCGTGGAAGGCTAAAAGGGCCAACCAGAATAGGTTTAGTTTGAATGAGGATGAGGAGGAAGAAGTGAGGAAGTTGGTGAGGAAGGGGGGGGATTTACTAAATATTATGGACCTCACCAACGCACAATGCATAGAAGCTGCTGAGCTCTATGGGCCAAGCGCTTTAAGTGAAGGTTGGTTTAGTTCTGCATTGTAGTACTTAATGTAGAGTATAGAACTGTGATTAATATTGTGTTCTTGCTTTGCAGCTGAAATGGATCAATTTTTGAACACTGTTGGAGGAGTGGCTATCCCCAAGAAGCCAAGGAAGAAGTCAACGACTTCAACCAAGCAAGTGGATGAGGGGAGGGCTAGGAAGGAGGTAATGCCCACGACTTCAGCTGAGACGGAGGAGGAGGTGCCACAGTTGAAGAGGAAGGGTTGGGGGGAGAGGAAGGCACTGCAGAAGAAGCAGAAAGTGGTGGAGGAGGAGGAGAGGGGGAATGAGGTACCTCAGTTTGTACCTCAGCCTCCTCCTGTTGAGCTGAACCCTGAGCTCAGACAGTTGGAGGAGGGAGCTGAGGTACGAGCTCTTGGTAGGGGAAAGGGCCCTGTTCCGTTGGGACCTCAGAGTAGCCTGTTCGAGGTGAAGAACATGACGGGGGCTAGGTGGTTCATCAACAGCTCCTTCCCTGAAGTGGACAGACGCAACGTGCGTGATGAAGCTCTGAGGTATGGTGGAGCGTCTGTTGTGAAGCACGTTCTAGAGGTATGTTAAATTATTGATGTTGTTTAGTTAACCTGTTTCTTCTTCTCTTCTTTCTCTCTTAACTTCTGCTTTGGTTTCTAGAGCGCGAGTTGGGTGAATGGTCTAGCCCAGGAGTTCATGGAGAGCCTGAGGGAGCGCTCACTCTTGCAGAGGCAGTGTGACCAGCTGCAGAAGGAGAAGGAGGAGTTGGAAAAGAAAAATAAAGAACTGCAAGAGTTGCTGAACGAGGTGGTTCCCACTGTGAAACAGTTGGAGCAAGAGAGGACTTCCCTGAGCACCAAGCTCGTCTTTGAGGAGAGCAAACGTAGGATCTCTGAAAGTGAGTGTGAGGCTCAGGCGCAAGAAATAAAGTTGATGAAGGAGGCTTTCGTGGAGCTAAAGGAGAATGTGCAGACCCTGGTGCACAACGGAATGAAGGAGCACATCAGCAACTTCATCAGCTCCAGCTCGTTTGACAACATTGTCAACCTGTACCGGTTGCCCACTGCCATCATTGCTTTCACAAACTGCAGAAAGAAGGTGAAGGCTGTATATCCTGAAGTGGATGTAACAAAGATCACCTTCGGCGAGCAAGAAGGAGGAGTAGAGGAGGACGGCGAGAGCATGTCAGCAGACTTCCGTCCTCAGATCAAGCTGAGGTGGGAGCATGATGCAGATGGTCTTGTTGTTTTCCCTCCACAATTCGACTTTGAGTTCGTTGCAGTGGAGGAAGAAGAGGCAGAGGTAGAGGAAGACGAGATGGAGGCAGGAGTGGAGGGAACTGAAGTGGATAAGAGGCAACCAATTCCAGAAGTGGAGGTTCATCCAGTCCCTTCCGACGATGAGCAGCCTCCTCTGCCAGACGAGCAGTAGCCAACACAGCCACCTCCTCCGATTGAGCAGGAGCCAGTGGAGCCACCTCTCCCAGCAGAGAAATAATTTTATTACTTGATTTTTTGTAAAGACATTTAAACAGTTTGTAATACTGTTACTTCGTTAAATGAAATTATATATTTGTTTATGTTTGGTTTATATTTTTGTTATTTTTTATGAATAAAAGAACTTAGAGTACTTGAGACGTGATTTGAAAGAAGGCTAACCACTTCAGAAATAAACAAAAGGAAAGTAAGTCACTTCAGACGAATTAAGAAGAAGTAAATCACTTCAGATAAATTAAGAACAAGGACATCGTTGCAAATGAATTAAAAGGAAATAAAGCACTTCACATGTGAAGTGACATTTACTAATCAGAAATGAGGTTCTAGGGCTAATTGACCTCGGATACATAGAATAAGAGGTAAAATGAATCTCAACAAACACGAAGTGAGAAATGTAAAGAACAGTAAGACATAGATCACTTGAAAGAATTTTATTAGGGGTAAAATTTCTTCAAGTTATTGACATTCCAGACTCTAGGAACTCTTTTTGCTTCAGCGTCTTGGAGGACATAGGCACCAGGATGTGGCACCTCGGCCACGGTATAAGGGCCTTCCCAAGTTGGGGCGAGTTTGCCAAAACGAGTTTCAAACCCCGTTAGGCTAGCTTTTCTAAGAACAAGGTCTCCTACTTTGAATGTTCGAGGGCGGACCCATTTATTGTAGAAGTTGGCTAGTTTCTGCTTGTATACAAGAGTTCGAAGTCGAGTTTCTTTTTTGACTTCAGCAAGCAGATCAAGGTTTTCCCGAAGTAGTTGTCCATTTCGTCCTTCATCGGAATGGGTGACTCGGAAGCTTGGGACTCTTATTTCAACACGAATGACTGCTTCGGTACCAAAGGCCAAGTGATAGGGTGTTTCACCTATTTCAGTTAATTATAACTTTAGAATGCGCTTTATGCGTTATGCATATTTGCTCTAAGGTGAAGCGTAACAGAAGAAGTAGAATAATATATAAATTAATCAAATAGACTCGGTTTAAAGTGATACCTGTGGCAGTTCGGCTCGTGGTTCTGTATGCCCAGAGGACATTGTTGAGCTCATCTGCCATTTGGCCCTATGCTGTTCCAATCTCGACTTTATACCTTCTAAAATGCATTTGTTAACAGATTCAACCATGTCATTGGACTCCTGATGGTAAACGGAGGTGAACTGTAACTTGATCCCATAACTGGAACAGAAATCTCGGAACGAGGAGCAATTGAATTGGGTTCCATTATCAGCCACAATTTGATTCGGGATCCCATATCTGCAGATGATCGAGCTGAAAACAAAGTCTTCGACCTTCTTGGAGGTAAGACTAGATAATGGCCGAGCTTCAACCCACTTTGTGAAATAATCCACACCAACAACTAGATGGGTTACACCACCAACCCCTTTCACGAACGGGCCTAAAAGATCTAGCCCCCACTGAGCAAATGGCCATGGTGCTACGAAGTTTGTGAGCTCCTCTGCTGGTTGATGAGTCAGATGTGCAAAGAATTGACATTTCGGGCATTTCTGAACAAAGTAAGTGGCATCTTTATGCATGTTTGGCCAGTAATATCCTTGCCTTAAAACTTTGTGAGCTAGAGTCCTAGCACCAACATGGCTCCCACAGACACCTTCATGCACCTCTCGAAGTGCATATTCAACTTCATAGGGGTTTAAACATCGTAGAAGAGGAAGTGAGAAAGATCTCTTATACAGGACCCCATCAATGAGTGTATACCAAGATGCTTTCTTCCTCAACTTCATTGCCTCCTGCCTATCCTCAGGTACTATTCCATCTCGCAAAAAGGAGATGATTGAATCAGTCCAGCTCGGCGTGTCAGGGTTTGTGCTAATCTCCATCACCCGAGGCTTCATGAAGCTTGGTTCATCTAAGACCTCTACAAAAACGGATCTGGAACTTAAAGAGCTATCTGAGGCAAACTTGGAGAGAGAATCTGCCTGTTCATTCTCAGCTCAAGGGATTTTGCTCAGACAGAATTTTTGGAATTTGCATTTCAGCTCGGCCACCAAGGCTGCATATTTCCCCATCACAGGATCAACGACTTCGCAGATAGAGTTGATTTGGTTTACTACCAATTGGGAGTCAGTCTATACTTGAATTGCACTGATTTTTAACTCCAATGCTAGTTGTAGGCCAAGTAGCAGAGCTTCATATTCAGCCATGTTATTTGTTGCATCAAAGTTGAATTTCAAAGCATGTTCGCTTCGATAACCCTCTGGACCAATCAAGAGAGCGCCCGTTCCTAAACCTTTGCTGCTAGATGCCCCATCAACATATAAGGTCCAATTGTTGGGCTCTAGATTAGAGGATGAAGGACATGGGGTGCATTCGACAATGAAATCTGCTAGTGCTTGAGCTCGGATTGCTGATCTCTGTTGAAACGTTATCTCAAACTCCCCCAGTTCTACTGCCCACTTAATTAATCTTCCAGAGCACTCTGGTTTCTACAGAATCTGCTGGAGAGGTTGATCTGTGAGAACGATAATTGGGTGTGACTAGAAATATGGCCTCAACTTCCTGGCCAAAGTGACAATAGCTAATGCTGCTTTCTCAACTATAGGATACCTCAGCTCTGCCCTGTGCAGTACACTGCTGATATAATAGATTGGTTTTTGCTGCTTGGTTTCTTCTCTTACTAGAACCAAACTAATGGCTTCATCTGAAATTCCGAGATATAAATAAAGAATCTCTCCATCTATAGCCTTAGTCAGTAGAGGTAGTGAGCTAAGATAAGACTTCAGCTCATCGAATGCAGCTTGACATTCCTAACTCCATTTAAACTTCTTTTGTTTTCCTGATTCGTCTTTCTGGGCGGCTGACCTCATGATCTTGAAGAACGGCAGGCACTTATCTGCTGACTTCGATATGAATCGGTGTAGAGCTGCCACCCTTCCAGTCAACCTCTGTATATCTTTCACTGATTTCGGCGGTTTCATCTCGGCAATTGCTCTTATCTTCTCTGGATTGACCTCAATCCCTTTTCGGGACACCATGAAACCGAGAAACTTTCCAGACTCCACACCGAAAATACATTTGGCTGGGTTCAACCGCATCCTGTTCTTTTTGAGATTGTTGAAGGTTTCGTCGAGATCAGCTAGATGGTCTTCTGCTTTCAGGCTCTTTACTACGATGTCATCGACATACACCTCCAGATTCTTGTCGATCTGAGCTCAGAAGACGATGGTCACCATTTTCTGATAAGTAGCACCTGCGTTCTTCAAGCCAAACGGCATCATGACATAGCAATAAATTTCATCACCAGCATAGAACGAGGTTTTCTCTTCGTCTTCGAGAGCCATCGACACCTGGTGATACTCAGAATATGCATCCAAGAGGCTTAACCTCTCATTGCCTGAAGCCGCTTCAACTAACTTGTCGATGCTCGGCATCGAATAGCAATTCGTGGGGCAGGCTTGGTTAAGATTTGTGTAATCAATGCACATTCTCCACTTACTGTTTGCCTTCTTCACTAGGACTGGGTTAGCCACCCATTCGCAGTAATCGACTTTCCTGACGAAACCAGCTTGTAGAAGTTTCTTAACCTCTTCTTTAATAGCCTGAAGCCTCTCCCCCCCGAAGAGACACCGCTTATAGGCCACTGGTTTCTTTAATGGATTGGTGCTAAGCTTGTGTTGGGATACTGAGTTTGGAATTCCTGGCATATCTGCCGAAGTCCATGCGAACACATCATTGTTAGCTCGGAGGAAAGCTATTAGCTCTGCTTTTTCCTTCGGGTTCAATCTAGTTCCGATCTGTGTCTTTCGGCTCGGATCTCTGTCATCAATGAGCACTTCTTCAACATCTTCGACCGGACCAGCCCTGGTTT